GCCCAAACACTTCATCTAGTCATTAATCTAGTAATCTGGCACTTGGATAATTTCCTTCAGGGGTGACAGCTTTTTATAACAAGTCAGCCCAATGATAATGGAGCCTTCAGCAAGAAGACGAGTACAAAGAGAATCTGATCCGTTTCCCCGCAGAAGTCTTGACGCCCAGTTCGTTGCCAGGGAATCGGCAGCTATAATACAATGAATATGGGAATCCTGTTATCTTTACATTGACGAACAAGGTCGAGGACAGCCTCCATCGAACAGGAACCATGTTATAGGGTTTCGACCTCCATTACAACACCTATATAGTGTAAAATGTAGAGACCCCTTTATAATCTGGGGATTGTGAAGCCTGGAAGCTCCCTCATTGATAGTGCTCCACACATCAAATTCTAACGATTTGTAGAGGTTATGGGTGGCCCTGGTCACGACCATGACCAGTCAGGCACTTACTTTGCCCTGGTGCAATATGGAGCCGATCTGGAGGTGGCAGCATAAAATGCAAAAACAGCGAAGCCCCAGGGATCCGAACCATCAACCCAGCCTAGCCGTCCCAACTCGACGTCTATCACACCATCCGTCGCTGCTAGCAGCTCAACCGTGGAGAGCGCATATGAAACCTCCCCGCACTCTTCAACATTTTTCAACATGTGGCTCCCTTTTTGGCTACCGTTCACGTTATTTTCAATGCGCAGTCCATTGGCGCCTTCTACTGTGCGGACAGTCGACGCCATGAATGAAACAAACGACGCTTATTGGGTTAAAACGGCGATTTCTAACAAAATCATTTTCACTCCTTTTCTGGCATTCAGAAGGTCATTTAGTGGAAATGGACCATAGTCCTATACTCAGTGCTCATGCCCCTATACCATGCAAAAAACCATTTTCAAAAAGCGTCCAACGCCCTGAAAGACCTTCCTTGTAATATCTTCGTGGACGCACCGCGCCGTCCTGGGAAACGAATAGAACTGCGGACTTTGCTCCGCTCTCTTGCGGCTATGAAGATTTTTGAAACAACTTCTTGTGAATACCTGAGATAGCTGAATGCGTCCATGGACTTTTGGATTTAAACAGCTGAGACAGCACTTAGTTGTGCAAACTTCGAAAAAACCAGACCACCCTTGGATGAAGTTCCTGATGTGCTAGTGTACTACAAAACCTGAGATTCAGTGCGAAATTCGCTTTGGCAGATATCTGCAGCCAAAAGCAGAGTCCTAAACACTACAATCCAACTGCCCAACCCTATGGAAAGAACTTATATACCAACGGCTAAAATCATACAAAAATCCATTTTGCCAGATAAAATCTTTTTGCAGGATTATCTAGATGTAGCATAAGCATTGAAGAGATTGAAATCTATTCTCTCCAGTGGTTCCGCCGAATAGAAACTTCTGGCTAGGACTGCAACTGAAAGGCAACCAATGGATGTGGCCTGACGGTAATTCAGTAAGTTACAGAATATTTCTCTAGTAAAAAGCAAAAGAGAAGATATCGGTTTGTACGGAGTTTAGTAAAGAGGGTTTATGGTGTGTAGCATCTTAGGAGAATAGAGAAACACTTGTGATCGACACGCGAAGAGATATTTCGGGGGTACTATTCGGCGTGTAAAAGGCGTCAGTTCTTTTCCACATCAGAGCGGAAAAACGACCTAGACAGACCTTAGCAAAGGCTCCTTAATCGCTCAAGAACCCAAAAGTGACATGGTTATGACGCCTTGTAGAGGCTGCACCATTCCCAGTGAAGCACAGACGTTGAAATTCGATCTGCTAGTCGTGACCCACGACAACAGTTGAGACAACTTTTCTTTTTTTCGCATTCTGTAGCCAACTTCAAGGAAAATGTTAACAAATGAGGGCTTGCTCAATTAGGCATTCCGTGTAACTTTTGTCGTAATAATTGTGTATAGCTTTACTTTCATTACATATCAGCAGCTCTGTCTTCCTTGAAATATGCTGATATTCTGCTTTCTTCACCATCATTGCACTACTACGCATCATAACTTCCATTACTTCCTTTGGCGGAAAGAAAAGTTCAACATTTAGCTGCGAGCCGTTTTTCCTGCTTTTCAAAAACAGAAGAGGTGTGTCCAGTATCGATGCATTGTGTCACCCAGAAAAGAAGGCAAACGATCACCAATCATACCTGTTCATATCGCTCTTTCAAATAAGCGGAATCCAGCGGCATAATCTATTCACCAATCGGATTGCCCGGCTATCGCCGGGCATCCTCGCTCCTATGTAAGGTCGGTTCGCCCGGCCAACGCGACCCAGAACTCCTATCGCGCACGCTCCGCCCTCTGTGGGCGGAGTGCCCACGGGGGGAGGTCCCACCACCTGCCATAAGTGTTCCCATGCTGCCTCTGTACTCCTACCGATTTTGCGCTTTCTAGGCCCACTGGATCAGGAGTTATGATTTTGCGATTTTGAATTTCTATCGTGCACGCCCCCCCCCCACCCCCCGAGGGCAAGTCCGGTCCTACTACCTGCCGCACGCTCCGCCCTCTGTCCATGCTGCTCCCTGTACTACTGCCAAATTTGAGCTTTCTAGGCCCAAGGAAACAGGAGTTATGAATTCGTTACGTGAAATATCTATCGCGCACGCTCCGCCACCCGTGAGCGCAGTCCGGTCCTGCCGCCCACCACAAGTGCTCCCAAGCTGCCTCCTGTACTCCTGCCAAATATGAGCTTTCTAGGCCCACGGGAACAGGGGTTATGAATTTCCGGTCAAACACACACACCACACACGCATCGGCAAAATAACAGACACACTTAGCGAATAGTATAAAGTAGGATATATGTAAACGTTAAAATGATACAACGGGCGAGAGGATTTGTCAGAGGGACATCTCTGCATTCGGCCCGTTCACCACGCGGTGATCCCTGTGAAATACTGTCCATGGCTGGTTTGTGGAGGTACATGGTTGTGAACGGTGACTCTCCAATTAAGCCTATTATATGTCGTGTGATGAGCAGATCCATTGCTTTGCATGAGATTTGCAGAACCACATCAACTTGCTAATTGAGATCCCTTTTAGGTTGGCAGTTTCACAAAATGGGCGAAAAACCATCCAACCGACAAGGGTGAATGCGTCTACATGCAGAAGAATGTCAATAACGAGTAAGTTCGTTCCGAAATTCTCGCGCTCTTCCACGCACTATCTGCGATGAATAACCAATATCCAATGATAGCACATTACATATCTTGTTGCTTACTTTCCCACGCAGAACGAGGAATGAATGAAGTTGAAAAATAGTTGCGGCTAAGAGGGACAGAAAAAACTCTATGGAACAGCTCGAAGATCGAAGATGGTGAAAAGGAG